CACCTCCTCACTGTACATGCTAATCTAGGCCTGAGGATATAGGAGATAGCGAATAGCAGATCATTCACAACCAGCATTTTACAGCTGTTAAACACTGGGGTAAGTTTTTACACATGATTCATATTGTTATACTTTTCAGGGCAACATTTTAATTATATTATCTATCCATCCATTTTCTAACTGCCTTATCCAGTACAGGGTCGCAGGGTCACCAGAGCCTATCCCAGCAAGTAACATACGCAAGGCAGGGTACACCCTGGACAGGACACCAGTCATATTATTTTCTGCTAGATTACGCAATGTATTATATTAGTGTGCATATTATACACACATGTATTTTCAAACAAAATATTTATATTATAAATCACAATGTGCCACAGTTCCAGGGCTTATATACCAAACCGGGGGAAGTGTTGAGACTAGAAATGTTATATGTCTCTAGAACTGCACAGCCTGGATTAGTTTATTCTATCTATAAGACAGCTCCTTGTTGCTTCAGGAAAGAAAAAATAATAATTTAATACTTTTTACATCTCAATATACATTATTAGGCATACATCTGCCGTGTTGCATAATCCATATAAACCTGTGGTCTTTCATTTAATTTAACAATTACTCTACTTAGAAATAAAATGCTTTCTGTTTTGCTTTAAAAGTGTCTTTTCAAATTTAGATAGTGCTTACAGTCAATTATTGGTGGTAGCACCACTGGACAATTAATCTTTTTGGATAAGTCTCTAACAACGTTTCTCACACTTTACACTCATTCTTTTTCTTCTTATAAACTTGGTCAGGCTTGGTCACCTTTCAAGTGTTAACACAGCTTCACAGTCAGATTTAAATCAGACCTCTAATTGAGCCATTCAACTCATGGATGTTTTCTTTATTCTTTTTAAGCAAAGTGTAGAATTCTCCTTGTGCTTTGGGTCATTCTCCAGCTAATAGATACTGTACCTTTTAGTACAGTTGTATGTTTTTGTACCACTCATTTTCCCCACAATCTTGACTTTTCTGATCACAAAATATTTGCCCTATTTGGACTATCACTAAAATGTTTTGATGGGTATTGTTTCAGTAATGGCTTCCTTCTTACTGATCTGCAGTACTGGCAAAGTTTGAGGAATGTACAACATTGAAAGTAAAATACTGTTGACTAATAGACATTTTCTTTAATCTCAGCCATTGAACTTTAAGTAACATTTAGATCTTTCAAAGTCACCATTTTCCTCACAGTGGCATCCCTGACTAGCTTCTTCCTAGCCAGATGCTCATTTTGGAGTCTCAGCCTGATTTAGGCAGTGTTAGGGTGTTATAATAAATGACTTAAGTACTGTGCCTTATAGAGACTAATACTGAAATCATGTGAACCATTATTATTGCACACAGACAAAAGACCACTTCTGTAATGTTGCGCACCTGAACTAATTTAGGTTTCCCACAGCACGATGAATACTGTACATATGCATAAAACATACTCTAGTTTTCATAGCAGTTTTTGCTGACATTTACAGTAACTCATTTCACCCATAAAAGTACAGTATGTAGTTTAAGCATTCAAGTCAGATTAAATATAAATATTAATAAACTTAAAAAAACTGTATACTGTACATCCTCTGTAATTGAATAAAATGGGGCACCTTTGATTGGGGTGAATATGTTTTCAAGGCATTTTGTATCCCTGTAACTATACAGCCTGGAATAGCTTACAGTATACTGCAGATTGATACAGTAGATTACATACAGTGTACTGTATTTTACTGGTGTAGTAATAGTTTTCAGCTCAAAACAGCCTTATATTTTGCTTAGCACTTCTATATACTGTATGTGAAGAATATGATTTCAAGGGCAAATGACATAAAGGAAACTGCTATTTCAGTGGTTTTAGTTTGGGTTATACAACAGTAAATTCATTATTTGTTGATATTATTTGCATGACCAACTGGACACACAATATACATACAGTATATATCAATACAGTACATCTTCAGTCATTCCTATTATCAAGTCACAGGATCATTCTGTTTG